AGTCTCTAAGAGACCATCTTGAACTTTATACATAAAAAACACAGACAGACACAGATGCACACACAAACACATGTGCATGTGTGTGTATAGGTTTCTATGTCTGGCATAGTATACCATCTTTCGATATACGGTGGTACCTAGATACAGATTTCTGTGGTATCAATCACATCAGTCGTTCCACCGTGTTTACAGGTGTTACTTGTAAGAACAAGGCGAGCAGGATTTGGCTTGTATTGGGGGGGGGGGGGGGGGGGGATGCCATCTGTATCAGTAGTTCAGTTCAGTTTGGTGTTTGCAAAATTAATTTACCAGAGCAACCTCCAGACATTTGAGTCCAATCATCTTCACAAAGAACGAGCTCTACAGCCGTTGTAGTTTCTTCTATGAACGTAAGTTGTGTTTCATTTGTTCCTGCAAGATCAATGGTTTTGTCCATTTAATCTGAGAAAATATAAGGGCCTGATCCTGTCACAGTTGTATACTTAAAACTTCAGTTAATGTCTGTGAGCCAAGTCCTGCTCAGCTTACTCACATGGGTATCGGCTGGCCTGATTGATTTTACTTCCCAGTTATAAATAAGAAGCAAATTCCTTATGGTTAATTGAGTCTTTAATATCACCATAAAAAGCAGTGTGAGATCAGAATCAGCCCTAGCGGGACTATGTACACTCACAAAAAATTAGCCAGACTTTGCCCTGTGGAAATTCTCAGCATACAATGTACAAATTGCAATTCAACAGAAGGTTATCCTATATAAAATTTCTCTGTTACAATATCTCCGTTCAAGAAATCCTGTAGCAGTTATAAAATCTTACAGTTTCCACCAGATTTGCAGCATTGACAAAAGAGTAACGCATCAAATTTGCTTTGTATACCAGGAGATTCTTGTCCTTTCTGTTGTTCTTTTCTAGATTTAGCAAAATTCAGTGGTGGTGCTAGATAATTTTTTTTTTTAACTTTCAAGGGAAAAAACACTGGCAAAATTGTGTTTTCTAGGGAAGGCTATGTGTGTAAATGAGAAACAGTGGATAGCAGCGGAGTGATCTCCTGTGGCCCTGCTAGTACAAGCTTTCCCCATATTGTCTCCTGCTTTTATATTAATTACAACTTGCATTATCAGCTGCGAGTCTGTAGCCCAGCAAATAGAAAATACTGCCCCTGGAGACCTAGCTTCTTGTATCTATTTTCCATCTCCTTCTATTGTGCTCTACTCAGTATTCACTGCTTTTCTCCTGGTAACACTGCTCTTTAACACAATTAGGTAAGAGCAAGAGGAGCACCATATTTGACTCCCAATTATTAAAACTACTGGGAATAGATACATGTGTGCTGTTTCCCTTCTATGGTACCTGGCATTGGTTTAGGTCATATGTGTGTGAAAATTTTATAGTACGTACACAAAACAGGCAATTGCATTTTGGCAGACATCATCCACACTCTTCTATGTGTTCCTGCAAATCATATTACTAAACTTGCAAGAAGATAGGAGAAGCCATGCTAACAGTTAGGGTAATTTATCAAAAGCTGTCTGTTTTTCTGTTTGGTTTTTTTTGTTGTTTTTTTTTTTTTTTTTTACAGTGTGATAGCTTAATACAAATTTCATTGAAATTAATAGAAAAATCACAATTAATGTTAGCGGGCTTTAGATTAGGATCTCTTTAGGTACCTAAACTATACTGATGAAGTGCTTCCAGTGAAGTACACTTTAGATGTGTCATTTGGTCCCATGGTTTTGTGAAGACATACGTAAAATAACTACTTACGATTAGGCACTTGGCCAAGAAGTTTTTCTTGAGGGATGCAAAGTTGGAAACAGTCTAGGGGAGAAAAGAGAAGTTCACTGACACGTACAATGATCTTAGTCCAAAGCAAAAGAATGCTGCCTTTTTATGAGGCTGTAAACTCCACCCCTAGAGTTATTTGTCATTTTTTATAATAATAAAGCCTAGCTATTTCCCTCTCTTTCGAATTCCTCCAACATTCTACTGTCGTGTCTTGTAAATATCCCATCTTATTATTTCTGTCCTTCAACAAAATTCTGCCAATTTGCTTCCTCAAGAAAACTGTGTCACAAGAAATACATTGAGTTCCCAATCAATACAGTCTGTCTTTCCCAAATGGGATCTACAAACTGCGGTCAAGAACAACTCAGCCTGGTAGAGACAGCAAGTGCTTTCAGCTGCGGGAAGTCTTATTCAGTGATCCTTTCCAAATTGTTACGGTTTTGAAACAGAAAGGCCGGTCTAGCTTTTGAAATACTGTATGATAGGTTTGGGATGACATTTGCCTTAAAACATAGCTGAGGTGTTACCAGTTAATTATTGTAATTTTCATATGTGTGATAAGGAGCTCCAACAGCAGCCAGCTTAAGAGAGCCTGCAGTGCATAAAATTAACATAACTCACTGTGTTCCCTGAAAAGTTTAGCCTAGGTGAACATGTTGCAATTATTACATTTTATAAAAGAAGGTTCCAGCCTGATGTTGTTGGAGGGCTAAACTCATGCTATGCTATTGTTTCTTTCCTTTTTCATGTATTTCTTCTAGCTCTTTATCTGATTACCTTCCGGCAAACAGCTGACGCTAAGAGGCTGCAGAGGGCTGAAGAGCTCCTGTCTGCTGTTTGCCTTCAGCTTGAAGCTATTTGAGTGGCTTCCTAACTCAGAGATAAAAAGAGAAGCTCATAGGCACAACTGTGTTTTAATCCAGGCTGTAAAGAAACTTGCTCAGTTTTTGCATTTTATTTCCCTCTGAACTTTTTGCTAACCTTATTTTCAACTTTTTTGTTTTTTTTAATAACATCTGGGCTGCTTGAACTTTCAAGACTTCTCATCTTTCTTTTTGTGTTTCCTTCCACCTGACTCTCTGAAATGATGGTAAAATGTTTTGTGGTTTGTTTTTTTTTTTTAAATGAAATTGTGGGGGGTTACAGTATTAATAGTGATTTCTGAGACCTAATTAATACAACAACCTCAATGAATATAAAATACTATTGTTTGGTGTTTCATGTTTTGTTTTTTTTTTTTTTTCCTGTTGTTGTTCTGTGTGAGGAAAAGTAGATCAGTCTTCTAGGTTTTGGAGGGGGTGGTGGTTTTGTGCCCTAAGTGCTGTCGTGCTGTCTGTTGCGGTGATAGGTTAGGCAAATTTCAGATCCTGGCCTGTCTTCTGATTTTACTCATACCTTTCTGCCGTGGAACCACATACGGGGGTGCATGTGTGTGTCTGTGTAAGGTGAAGGGGATTTGGATCCTTCTTACCCTTTGGTCACCTAGGGCTTTACTGGGAGCCTTTTGAAGTCGTGGGCTCTTCCCTTTGTCTCTGCTGCGATCTGGGTCAGGCCCGTTAGATTTATGTTACTGGGTATTGTAGCAAGCCGTTATTTGGCAGTTCTATTTTGCGTTGCTATAGAGCATGTGGTACTAATCAGTGCTAGGAGATTACTTTGAGATGTTTCAATATATATTTTGGGACCTGATTCCAATCACACTTACACTGAATTTTACAATGGGTAAATCAGTTGACTTTTGTTGAACTTTTTCCTACTACATGTCAGGGTAGATGAGGTCAGAATCAGTCCTGCTCAAAGAATTTATCTAAACTTGTCGCTTGCTGCTTTTAGGATCTCCTTGTGCTTTAATAGTCCGGTGTTATTTCACAACAGAGACTTAAAATGTAATCAAACCTAAGAAGCAATATATTCTTTTTTTTTTTTTTGAGGGGGGATTTTTTTGTTTGTTTTGTTGTTGAATTATTATAATGTGCTTGATTTAAGTTGTCACATACAGGTGACAAGTAATGCAGGTCCAGCCCCTGGTCTGATCTGTTTCATGTGTTCTTGCTCTCCTTTTCTGCCAGAGGAAATTCCATCTCTTGCCTGCCTTCATGTGGTGCTGATAAAGCTCTTCCTGTACAGTAGAATTCCTGTTTTCCTTTAAGCAACAGCAGGGTATTGGGAATGATCAGGAAAGGGGAGGAGGACAGGAGGAGAATACACTCAACAAAGTAGCACTAAACTGTAACATTAAGTTTTCCTCACTTATCCTTTTAAATAGCAGCTCCTCGCTCCAGGAAAGCCAATACTCAATAAATTAGAAAGCTTGCATGAATTATGTGACTAAAGTACAGTAGTTGAGGTCTTACTTAGCCAAGTTTTGCAAACTTCGTATGTCTGTCTTCTGTGTTCCCTTTTGTCGTGTTTTATGCATAGTAATGTAGAAAGAATTACATAAAAATCACTATACGTGTTGTTTTATATAATCACCTGGCGGTTATTCTTGACAATACTTGTAAGCGAACTGTTAGAGTGATACATCTAGAAAGTCTTTTGAAATGTGTCATATCAAGGTGGGGGGGGGGGTGAGGAAGCATCTTTCCTGGTATATAACGTCTTTCAGAGGAAGCTTGCTTTTTCCCTCACAACTTTGCATTTGCTTGAAGTTTTTCCAGCATTCAAATGGGTGAGAGAGAGGGTAGGGTGTGAGGACATGCTCCTCTCCCATGTATGTTCTCCTCTACTTCTTGAAACAGTTTCCCTCCTCTTCCTCTCCCCTCCCATCTCTAGTCAGTCTCCAAAACCAAAGTGTGGGGAGATAGTTTGCATACCAACTATCCTGATCCCAATGTGAACACCTAGTATCATAAACTGCAGGTTGATGCTCTCCTCCCTGCCCCCCTGTATTAAGAAACCGATTTTTTTTTTTTCTCCCTAAATATTCTTCTGCAGTACTATTCAAACTATTAAATCCAGACAATGCTTTGGAAAGTTTAAAATAGAAAAATATCTGTCCTTTTTTTTAACAAGTAAATCTTTGTACCTCCTCTGCTTGTCTTTGCTGAAGAATTATTACACCGTGCAAACAGTATTGGTGTTTGGCACATTTCACAAATGCTAATGTGTATACTTTTCCCCCCCTCCTCCCCTCTTCTCCTGGTTTTCTTTCTGTTCTTCATTTGCTATTGGAATGGGAACTGTGGAAAAAATTCCTTGGCACTCTGACACCAGAATCCTTCATCTTGGAGAGACCACGATGATGCAACCTCAACGCACTCGGCAGGCACACCGGGGCCCTCCAGTGGGGGCCATGCTTCCCAGAGCGGAGACAACAGCAGCGAGCAAGGTAAAAGGTCAAACTTTTTCCCTCTGCAAAGTAGGCATGACTAAAATAACTCCAGCTTTTTTTATTATATCAGTACATCTGCCTTAGAGTAAACATGGAGTGGCAGACTTGCAGTATAATCAGCTGTAACTTAGGGAGACGGTATTTCCTCTTCCTAACCCACTTAGCTGCATTTTATTATTATTTCAAAGCAAAATATCTAATCTTCAAACAAGCTTTGTAATAACAATTGATTAGTTCTGCCAATTCCTTTACAAATTTGGTTATCTACAGTTTATCTTACAGTGTAGTGTAAGTAAATATAATGACAGACCTACTCTCCAGCTGTGATGCAGTTGTTTGAGCCGGGTTAGAGATGGAGAATTTAACCTGTAGTTTTAGCTGGGAAAGAGACTCCTATATGAAGTTATGAAGCTGCTAAATTATATAAAGTAGAAGCAAAACCTGAATTGGACAGAGAAATGTTTCTTGCAATGTTTGCTTGTACAGACTTGTTTCTGCTTCTGAAAATCTGAATTCAGAATGGTAAATAGAGATGTACCTGAACTGCAAAACCTCTGCTGGATCTATACAGTGAAGCTTTCTCAAGGGTTCACGAGGTTTGATTATTATTTCAGGGTTTGTTTTTTTTGTTTGTTTTATTTCCTACTGCATTGCACCTTGTGTGTGGTCATCTGCATCCATGCTGAGTGAGTGTCAAAGGCTGTCATTCTGATATGATAGTGTTTTACACTTGCTCATTAGAAGTATAAGTGACTCAGAAGGTATAAGAGTCAAGCCTCCAGTGCTAAAAATTGGGTAAAGATGGTCTACTGTCACTCTTGGATCTTGACTCAGAACTGATTTTTTTTTAAGACCAAAGTTTAAGGTGGGCTCTGTTCTTGTTTTTCTTAGTAAATATGGTAAGCCTCAGCTAGTGAGTGAGACATTGCCTTTATAAGGTCTTAGGATACGCTCCCTCCATCTCATGCATCTGCAGCATTTTGCCACTGTGTTTCCCCCACATGGGGGTTACATAGCCAACAGAGCCAACTGGCAGGTCTGCCATCCAACTAGCCATGTGGGATCCCAAAACTGGAGAGGGGAGCAGCCTTCAGGGCTAGAGCTGCAGTGGCTAGCCTCGCGCTGCAGGCTGCTTCCCACCGTGATACTTGCCACGCTTAGGCGGCAGAGCAGATATGTGATTTCACGTCTCTCACGTGGCGCACTGCTTGGCACAGAGCTAGATCCCCTCGTCTGTCTCACGATCTGGTGTCGTACCCGTTGCGATTCTAGGAACTTGGGAAGTTTGTTTCTGGTAGAGTGGTTTGGGTTTGTCTCCTATTTGTATGAATTGTTTGTACGTTTGTAATCTTATTGCTGATAGAAAGCAGCCATGGCACAGGGTGTGATCCAGCTCCAACATGAGTCACGCAGGATTTTTTTCTGTGGTTGGATCAGAGCTGTACGAGGCCCAGCGTGAAGTATTACAGCTTCAGCAGCTAATGAAAGGGAAAGCTTGACTGCTAAGCAGCAAATCGGTGTTACGTCTATAAGCTGGCCATAGAGTTTACGGTTGATCAAATGTTTACATTGTATATTGTGGCGAAGATGCTTGGTGTAGCAGATGATCATTTGCATACTTAAAAATTATTCCTCTGAGTTGTCTGCCACAGTGTGTTTGTTCATTCCACCCCTAGGTAAGAAATTCCCTCACACCTGTATCTGCACTATGCCCCAACAACCCCTTAGAAATTACAAGAGTTTCTTCATTGAGCCATGCTTGATGTAAAGAAATCCCTTGTATTGACATCCAGGGATCTTGCATTTCACTAGTCTCTGATTCCTTGTCATGTAACTTGGGGAGCTTGAGGAAATATTGCGAAGCATAAGAAAAAGTAGTTGATAACTACACCAACTTCCCATTGGAGACTGAGGTTTCTGGTAATATATATTATTTAAACAAGCCTGTTACAGTCCCTTCTGCAGAAGGGGAACAACTGCTGAAGGGCCAAATCAGTCACTAGTGCGGCCCAGTCTAGCAGGGTAAAACATCACTAGCATACTTCCCTTTGTGCTCAGTTGGGCCTTTTAAAGGGAAGCAGTCGTCCAGTGGCAAATCAGCATTCCACTCAGCTGCTGGCAGCTGAAAGATGTATGATCCTACAGCACCAGCAAAATTCCCATTGGAGACAGCTTTGGATTGCTCTCCCCCTCTCAACCACGGGAAAGACTAAAGAGAGGGAGGCCTGTATTGAATTTTCCTTATGCTTCCTTGAGGGGGGCAGGGTTTTACTTTATAACTCATGAACTGGTAGTGAGTCAGTCTCAGGCAATGCCAAGATGGGTAGATGCCCTTTTGAGCTATTCTGGTGCAGTTACTTATTTGAGTCAACTTGGTTTCTCTACAGTTTTGTCAAGACCTTCCACAAATGCTGCTTCAAGTATTCCACTTGCCCCAAAGGATTTCTTGGGAATGGGAGCTCATTAGAGAGTCTTGAGTTACATTAGCAACTTATGGTCTCCTCTACTGATGCCTGGTGGCAGCAGGGATTGATTCAAACTGGAGTCAGCTTCTTCTGGCTCTTGGGAGCACTCT